GAGTAATTAAGTTATGTAACTTTTAAGCATGCAGAAGATGACAATAAAGCTAGCAGCATGCACCAGGCTGCACACACCCAGACTTTGTTCTTTATTTCAGTTAGAAGACAGAGGAATGAGGTTGGGTATTCATGATATTACATAAGAGGGTTATGTGTAGATTTCTAGGAAAGCCACTTTGATAGTTGTTAATAAGGGAAGTACTTTTTTATTGAGTGTTCAGTGTGCTTGAGATAGAAAGTGAGAACCTTGCTGAGGGTAGCCACTTCACAAATTTTGATCTTTTGCAAAGTCTGCGCTTCGGCCAACACATTATTCAGGTGTTGGGCCAGTTGTTTTTTTACAACAAGAAAAAGTAAAGCTATTTTGACGAAAGTCGTCAAGGCAGACCGTTGCCAATCTGCAATTTCCAGCTTTGGCGTAGCCAAGATTGCCTGGCACATAGAGTAGCAGTGGCACAGATACCCAACCTGCGAGATATAGACACCATTTCTGAAGAGAACTCGTAAGTTAAATTTTCTGTTAATTTCATTTGAGTTTGTTATCATAATTCCAATATACCTACATGAGCATCTTCTGCCTAGAAAGTGATTTTTGAAATTGGCATTAGACATTAGAGGATCTAACTTGCTTTATTGAAGTTGTGCGTTTAATCATGTTTTTTTTACAATTCGATACATTTATTTCGATGCTGCATAAGGATGATACATAATACATAATGTTATATATTCAAATTGACATTACATACTAGATATATTTACAATAGTGAACATTAACTAAATGGCAACATCTAGGTCCAGGGTGAAGCATCAGCTTTTGTTCCCCAGCCTATGGACAGACAGACAAGTGACAGACATACATGGAAAGACAGAGCACAGACACATGTGTAAGACAGTAATCAAAAACTGGTGATATTTGGCAAACTGAAATTGTTGAGTGTATCATTTTCTAGCATAAAATGGTCGTGTTGTACCTTTGACTTCAGAATTTTATAGGTCAAATATTTTCGAAGTTTCGGGTTTTATTTTATATCATATAGATGGCCAGAAATCCCAGGTGTTTGCGATAGAAGCCACTGGTATAGCTTATCCTGAGGAGTGCACTGTAGTCTCAGCCCCACCAGAAACTGGCAGAAGCCGTGGGCATAGTCCATCAGATGTACATGTATGCATGACGTGCTACAAAACCTGACACCAGTACCCGGCAACACCATCATCTACATTTGTATATAGTCTTGTATCATTTACTCATTTTTTTTAACAACCTAAGAATTTTTTTTTTTTTTTTAATTTAAGAAGTCAAACAAGTTTTCTGTTGTTGGTAATTGTAAGATTGAAAGTAAGAGAAACCCTTGCAAATTCGTAAATTGAGAAGAAACAAAAACCCTTGAAAATACTTGTAATACAATTTCCTATAAATAATAGAGAACAAATTTTGTCAAACAGAGAAGTTATACTTCAGTTGATTGATTTAATCTATCATCAGAAATTTAATACGATTTTGGAGGGAATATATCTCCTGTGCCAATGTGTATATATGATAGTTTGTAAATAAATTGTAAGCTTTGGAATATAGTAAAGAAACTTGAGTTCTCCCCGCCTTTTCATTTTGACAATTTTGCCCGGTATTGACCGATATAAATAATTTGAATATATAACAGTTAGTTATGGCTCATCGGACGGATTCTTGGCCTATTTACTTGGTTGCATCCCGAGCTAGGATGCGCGTTAAGCATTATGGTGGAAACAGCAATACCAATACGAAGCGCGGTTTGTTCATGATAGCGCCACCCATCGGGCTTTGGGTGGTAACCATTGATCTCCATATACACAGACTGGATGGGACATCGCGCAGTGTTTGTGCACGAATGCGCGGCCGAACAATGGCGGCGCGTTTACTGTCAGACGGGTAAACGCGCATTGTGCTTTCACTTTGTTTACTTTGGAAAATGGATTGTTGAGTGAAATTTTTCTTACAGGAGGGAGTTCAAGCGCTCCTCCAAAACAATCTTTAAAAAAAACCCTGAACGATGAAGAGTTACCCTTCAAACAGCTTTTCCACACTTTCTTGATATACACTTTCTTATTATGCATTTTCGAAATTCAAGAACCCCTCATTTCCTTTTCCCTTATTTTTTTAAAAATCCCTTCCCCTCCCAAAAATGATTGTAAGTAAATTGCCATTTCATTTTTGGCACATTGGTCATTAGAGCACACTGAATTACTCCATCAACGAAATGAATAATTGTATTAATAATATGCTGAAATGACATCATATTTTTTTAACTGAACACTCACACGAGAAATTGTATGGAGATTCATTCAAATGATTGATATATTTATTAAAAAACCTGGTCATAAACCAATTACAATCTAAAAGGTAAAAAACCCCTTAATTTTACAAAGTAATCAGTAAAAACTTCTTCCCGTCCCTAGATTGATCAGGGAATGACATCGTTTACCTCTTGTGATATTGTGTGAAAGGAGATGAATCACAAACCAAAATAGTACTATACTAATTTTGTCAAAGAATAATTCAAGCTACGCACGGTCTTGCAATTAAATGTTTAGCTATACTTCTGAAAATAAATATAATTACTTGTAAGTGTAATGGGAATCGTTTTTGTGAGCGAATATGACGGTGTTTATGGCTATAGCTAGTAATCTTATATAACGGCGTACACAACATAATTTCAAACCGTAAAAGTACTCATTGCTTTCTTCACCATACAAACTGTCAATAATGTGACAGTCATCTTGGGAGCTTATAAAAATACTAGCGTTGAACTCCACAACTTCTTTCCAAAACCAAAATCAATCAATGTTAACAGTTCCACATCGTAAAAATTGATTAAGTCAAACGCTCAGATGCTTATCACACGCATGTTCCATTCAGTGGATGATACAGTCGATTCCATCCCTCCGTGAAGTTCTCCATTTTCGTCCGGCTCGGTCCTGCAGCTGGTGGTTTTTGCTATATGGCTTTGCTGAAGTTCTTTGTTTGATATGAAGGTCAATCGGCCAGTTGTGCAGTAAGTTAGCATAAACCATCTCCTCGGTTTCTCTTTATAAAGAAAAGAATAGAAACATTTCGGTAGGCGTTAAGCCAAGGCAGACATAATTCAATCAGATTTTGCATATAAAAGTTATTCGAATAAACTATCTTAAACAAGTCAACTTTTGTTCATTGCCATTGCCGGGTCAATCATGTACGTTTAGGACTATGTCTTTTAAAGAAAAATGATGCCGACCACTGAGCATGACAGGCCTAGATCGCATGGAATTTGAACAGAATATCTCGCTAGCTACCACACAGGCCTCCATCCCCTCAAACTCAGAGCGACAACACTAACGATATTATAATTTGCTATGTTCATATTCCTCCATGCCATGTTGTATAGGCCTCGTTAAAAAAACAACTTACTTGCGAATAATTGTCCTATTCTTCAACGCTCCTTACTTCCCGGCTCCAGCGATCTAATGCTGCGCACACCTTGACTATACTCCTCGTCGATTTTGATCAATTTAGATCTCTGTTTCTTTTATTCTTTCAAAAATGACAAAGAAACCGAAGAAAACCCAACTTCATTTTTTAATCCTCCGTTCGAAAGTGTACACAACTCGAATGCGAAATTGTGTTCTTTACCCTTTTCAAAAAACGCGCGCGCGGACGCACGTTCGTACGCGATGTCCTATCCAGTCTGTGTATATGGAGATCAATGGTGGTAACGTATAACACAGGTGACCGAAGCTTGCCCATGCAGCCTCTTTTTCAACCTAAGCGCGCAAAGCGCCCATACCCGGCTAAGATGCGTTTTGCTACTATTCCCGGTTGGTGTGTAATACGCAGGCGCGGCACACGTACGGACCTACGGAGAGGAAAGAAGTAAAAAGGTGCTTGCCCATACCCCGCAGATGTTGCAATATTTTACGCGCGAAAAGGGTAGCAGTTGAGGCAATGCTTTGAGCTATTGCACAATTTGGGGGAAAAGTGGCAGTACAATTTATGTACATTAATTTAGTTAAATGAATACGCGCTGGGATAAAGGGGGAGCATCGCAGTTAATGGTTGGGGAGGTCCCCCCGCGTGATCGCCGCACATGCACTCTTATTACACGAGGGAATTTACACTAAAAATCTATTGATTTATTGATACAAACTATTACAATCAATTACTGAAATGCACGAATAACTATGGGTCTATTTATGAAAAAATCCAACCCAGCAGTTCGCGTAAACACAGGGGCGGATGACCGTAAGCTTCAGAAGGAACTTCACTCCTTCCCGGTCCCTTCAGCATTCTCACCCTAAGCTTGACGCCCAACCCCTACCAAGTAACTCTTAAAGCTGTTTTTTTTTGTACTGTTATAATCATTAGTTCCCGGCCCTAGAAGTTTCATTGCCCAGAATTTTATACCATTATGACTGTCCAAGGGCGGATCCAGAACACAATTTTGGAGGGGGCCAACAAAAATTTTGGTCCCCCAAAAAAGTGGGTCACAAAAATTACGGCGTGGGGTTCGGGGCCCGCTTAAGGGCCCCGAAAATTTTTTGGATTCTAGATGCTCTGTGGTGCGATCTGAGGCAATTTCTGACCACTTTAACCAATGTTTTTTGAGGAAAAGATGGTGGTGTACTCATTGCCTGCCTTTATCGCGATGTCACATAAAAAAAAAAAAATTGGTTTCGTTTTTGGGGGGGGGCCATGGCCCCCTTTGGCCCCCCCTGGATCCGCCCTTGTGACTGTCATGCATTATACCAACGAGACGACAATAATAATCGAACATCTGTTGTGGATGGAGCATAAGATTCGTGTTCACAAAGGAAAAAAGCCGCAACTATACAATTACAGAAAAAGGAGGCGAACTGCAATTAAGAAAGAAAACTTGCTACGTTTCACTGAACACGATATACAAAAAAACTGTACTCGCAAATTATTGGCGTTAATTCCTATATGCTGCTCATATTTCATCCGCAACTTGTCTATAAAATGTCCTTGCTCTGTCCGCTTGCATCACACAAACCCAGGAGGAACGAGGCTTGCACACAGGCGAGGTCGTACCGCAGAGGACGAACAACGAACCGGTAAAGTTTATTTCACTCTATGAAAAGTCGCAGCAGTAACTCAGCATTAACGAAGCGTTAGCTTTGGCTCTGGAATGTGAAAGTATTGTCTTCTGATAGGTGTTCAAGTTAGTTGGTATAGTTACCTGCTCGCACACAAACAAATCTCCCGTCTCACACTATGGGGCTGCCGAAGCCTTTGATAAACTAATTGTTTGCATTAATTAAAGGCAGAGTGCATCATTTGCAGCTATCCAAAAAGTACCTGACGAAACTACCGTTGAAAAGTATACTTTGTTTAAAGGTGGTAATGATACTTAACCCACTTTGAAATTATTCTTTCTGGCATGCTGTCATATTAAGAAAACAATAAAAGGCTATTTCCAACGATGCGTCTGAAGACGCATTTTTGTAGTAGTTCGTTAATTCGTCGAGGCCGTCAATAAGTGCGCGCAGTAGTACGCACGCCTGGTTGCTATACTTCGTCGGTTCAGTGTGTGACACTGCGTAACCTGCAATCGGCCGAATGAGAACATGCCTGGACGCGAATTTTGTTTTCCCAAACTACATCCACATACACGTACATGGTTGTTTAGCGCCCTCTTCCATACTTTTATGATACGAACGCAGGTATATATAATTAATTTTTTCCCCAGGGTTTAGCGAGCAGTGGGTGTCAACCGGGTCGTGATTTTGCACCGCGTCACAGTTTTGGACCCGAATTTTTCCCTTTTCTAATCTTAGGCTTCGGAGGATTTTTTTTTAAGGGAAATGAAAGTCCAAATTTCATTACGTTCGAATTCATTTTTTTTTTCTAATTTTTATATTTTCTTCTGATGTTTTTAGAGAAGTTAAGTCCAAAACGCCAAGGCGTACACCCCATGCGGATGTCGTTAGGGCAAACAAAATTCGCGTCCCGGACGCAGATTTTGGGCGCAATTCAAAACATGACTCGACAACTTTTGAATTGAAATCGAGATCCTTGAATATTGTTTCCTCGGAATATACAGCATTCACTGAGGTGTAATTTCATCAAATTAGTTGTTAAGCACCCTTCTTTAGATGGTTACACCTCTATGTTCCGACACCCCTATGTTCCGACTGCACATATTCCTATTCCTAACCCTAACCCTAACCCTAACCCTAACCCTAACCCTAACCCTAACCCTAACCGGGAGTAACACAATCTAGGTTGTCGGTACATAGGGGTGTCGGAACATAGAGCAGTCACCCTTTAGATTTTGAGCACTTTTGTTGTTTCCAACGGGAAAAAAATGCACAAATGACGAATGATGTAGGGCCTACTCTACCTTTTGGCTGATACGTTGTTTCTATTCCAGCTTTTCTTAAAGCATTCAGACCGCATTTTTTTCATCAAGTCGACTTTGATACCGGTAGTGACTTCATCTGCCCCTACAGGGCGAAATTATTGGCCACTATATTTTCTTGTTCGTATATAGGCTTACATGTACTGATCAAGCTTATACGTGAATTAGTTAAACCATTTTGGATGAAAAAAATAATAGGGCCAAGTCTATGAGATAACTTTTTGGATGTCTTGGATGGACCACTTTAGATTGATTTTAACTTTGTTCCGGTGCCATATATACAGTACACCTTATGGTACACAAAGACACTGAGAAGTTTTTATAATGATATCATTCTTGTTTGGAAATTTCTCGGTGAACAAAAAAAAATACGTTTCGTCACGGAAACTTTCCGGTTCAATTTGATACCTCACTTGGAAACACTGTGTTAGAAATAACGAGAGCGCAAACGCTGAAGCTCCTGAAACCACAAAACTAAAGGTTGCACTTAGTGAGATTTTTCAATGGGCATCGCAACACACGTTGAATGCAATGATGCAGTGACCACCAAAAATCTCGCCAAGTGCAACTTTTAGTTTCGGGGTTTCAGGAGCTTCAGCGCTTAAATTGAAGTTGCGCTCTCGTTATTTCTTACACAATGTTCCCAAGGTTAGATAGTCGTATTTTTGTCTGTGAACTTCAGTCGAACTACATTGGTGCGGCTAGTATAAGACTAGTACGTAATCGGCCGGGTTGCGACAAATCTAACGACTTGACGACGTTCTCGCACCAGTATTCTGCAAGCAGCGCCATACATATGCAGTGAATTTTTGCGTTGAGATCCAATCGCGCAGAGTTCTTCTCAATACGTCAGGGACATGTTTGCAGATCTGGCGACGTTTAAACGACCAATAGTCTCAGCTTGGTCATGAAATAAAATGTATCATTGTGATATATATAGGCCCCCTACTTGATTCATTTGAGTCGTGTATGATGCATTTGTAATGTTACACAACACAAATTACAAACCCTCGAAGTAATGAGAACGATCTTCCGTGGTGGCCTAAAATTCGCTCTGCATGGAATCTGAACCAATCAGACTGCTCGCATAGAATTCGCTAGCGATTCACAATACTCCCATATCGTCGCTTTGCTCACGAAGTGACAAAAACCTCGAAAATCGATAATTATTCGATTTTGAGTTTTACTAGCCATTTTATTATAGTTGTCTCAAGGAACAATTTGACCAAGTTTCAAGTCAAAATATTGTTTACTTTCTTAATTATTGTAAACAAACAATTGACAAAATGCCTGAAATCGGTGATTTTCATTTTCACCAAGTGTAAACATGTGTAAAATGTTCTCACGAAGTGACAAAAGTCACTTCCTGAGCAGGGCCAGAAATTATACAATGGTCTACACGCAGAATGATGGGAGCATACACGCGCGCGCGAACGATGTTGAAAAAGAACAGACGCGCGCGCGCTCAACTGTCGTGACGCGCAAAAGTAACAAGTTTGTTGCGTCGAAAAAAATCCCACGAAGTGACAAAAACTGTGTACAAAGTAATTGGCACAATATGGGACCCAAAGTTTTGATGTTCTCACGAAGTGCAAACAAGTTTTATTAATGAATTACTGTTTAATTACGAACTATTTTTAACAAACAACTATGAATTAACAAAGAGCAAATCATATCCTATCGGTCAATGCAAAAATTTCCGAATTCTGTTACTGCAAAGTGGTCAAAAATGTCTTTTGAAAAAATGAATAACTTCAAATGCGATTATCTCAGAATGAACTTTTGTCAATTTTTTAGGTTTTTGTCACTTCGTGAGCAAAGCGACGATATGTTGTGTGCAAAACTGACAACGTATTCGCCAAGTCGGTAATTTCAACAGAAATAGTCAGCATCATTTGGTCTGGGAACCAGACTACGCGCATTGCAGCGATATTTTGCGTGCGTGGAGCCACTGAGTAACCGGTACCGTACGCAAAACAATTACCGACTTGGCACCTAGTCTATATAGGTATCAACTTGAACCGGAACGTTTCCATTACAAAACGTATATTATATTTGTTCACCGAGAAAATTAATGTCCAAACGAGGATGATTTTAAAAACTGCTTATTTTCTGTTCTCATTCATTTTTTGGTGAATTTGTGACGTTAAAGCTGCCCAACTCGTGCTGTTCAACATATTTATTTTGTTTTCTCTAAACGAATTTTCAATTTGTCTGTTTATTTAAACCGAAAAGGACTATTTTTTTATATTTTGGACGTTTTCAGTCTCCGAAAATACACTGTTATTTGGGTTGCGTTTGCGCCCAGGCATAACGCACAAAAAGATACATGAACGCCCAATTAGTATAGTAATTAGTGTCGGGCCTCAAATAGGCCTACTTCAAAATGTGTAGAGTAATTATCCGTTTACTAAAAACGTGGGTGTATTTTTTTTGTTCGGTGTGTTATTTAAAAGGGAGTAACTTTTGAATTGCTAGGAAAATAGATATAAGGGGGGGGGGGGCTGGGGCTGGACGCCACATTATACTAGCGGGCGCTCTTTGATGGGATACAATATGTCAACTATACTCGCGCTTTTCCTCCAAACGGCGCATTTTAAAAGCTTTTGTCAATTGTTTCTCCACTTTTCAGTGCTATTGAATACATTTTGGTTGGGATGTTCGTAAAATACCTCGAAATCCCCTCATAACAAAAAAAGTGGCGGGGGGAGATTCAATAGCCCATCCCCCTGATCAATAAATGGGGGATATATACCCCCAGCCCCCGGATTTACGCCCCTGACCTAATCAAAGTAGAAAGTTTGAATTCCGTTTTCTTACACGGTCTCTTGTTGTGCGCTTTCCATCTTCAGGAGTTTGTGATTCATCATAACAACATGAAGAGGTTTGCCATCGCAGCCCTCTTGCTATCGGCGCTTGCCACCCTGACGAGCCCCTGTCTGGGCTTCTGTATACCCCCATTCGGCTGGCACTCCAAGAGCCTGGTAGAACGCATGGAGCTCGGGGAGGCTGAGGTCGTGGTCCTGGCGACCGTAGACGCTACCAGTCCCGCCCATCCCTACAAGTATCCCTACACTGCGGACCTGATCGTGGACTGCGTCTACAAGGATACCAGCGGGGAGTCCGAGCGCCTGCCGGACTACCTGAAGGATGTCGAGGGCTTCGGTGGTAGCTGGGACTGCGCCGAGACCAGAGTCGAGGCTGGCACGCAGTACATTATCTTCCTGAACCGCCGGGGACCTTACGCTGCTGAGGTGGCAGAGGTTAACAGTCAGTCTGGTGCCGAGCAAGCCATCCCTACCAGGCTGAAAAAGGTCGAGGAGAAGTACCAGTGCATCTAGACAGACGAGAACATTCAGAGAACATTGCATGTTTTTTTTTTTAAGTTTTACATTTACACGTGTAAGGGTGTTTCTGTCGGAAAATCTACGTATAAATCGGTAGTCTGTTTTCTGTTTGTATATTCTCAGGATTTAAATCTCTGAATGCTTTGTTTCTAAAAAAAAGTTGGGAGCATATTTTCAATTTTGGATTTCATCTACCACACTTCCGTATTATCATGGACATGCTGAATCGAGGAGTTTTACTCAATAACTTTAAATATATCCTGCGTATTTACACTAAAGTTTATGTGACTGCCGTGAGGAGTCAATCTATATCCAGTCCAACTGAATTTCTGCCATATCCCATTAAAATGTGATTGTAAACAAACGTTTGAAACTTTCTTGCTTTTCATCTTAAGGTCCATAACGTTACCAATGTGCATTCTGATGTGACGTTCCGCCTTGTCAAGGTAATATCTGCCGCGACTGAACAGTTCATTTTAATTGATCACCCACCCCCAGCGAAACACTCCTTCTTCAGATATTTCAATTTTCAAAATTGAAACTGGGATTTCAAAACTGACACAATAGTAGACACACTTAAGAATGCATGGGCGGCGATCGCGGGGGGATACCCCGTCCGCCCAATATATTGACAAGAAATCAGCGCTCATGACGCACTAATCTTGCCTTCCATGTGTAGCATCGACGGACCAATTCGACCTTTTTTTTGCTGGGGGGGGGGGGGGAGGGGGTGGGGTTGGGGACGGCGTAACCAAATAATTGCCAGTTCACCCTGTGCAGCAACATACTGTAGATAGTATTTATTTCCCTGTTTACTCAAACGTTGCAGAATCCAACAGTGGGGAAGGGGAAGGGGTAGTCAGTCACCATCTGACGATGGCCGCCGAAGATTTCAAAAAGCGGGGGTGGGGGGGGGGGGGGGGGATCAGCCGACACTGGGGGCGCTGTTAAGTTTTGTGGATCCACATATTATATTCCGGGGTGGATCTCAACGCCATCAGCACTGTATAATTACGGGGGCACTGCTCGTCAGCACTTTAGAGCCTCAATTATGGCTTTTCGGGGGCGGGGGTTGACAGATTAACCCCTGATCCACCAATAACTTCCCTCAAGGAACGACAAGGTTTAGTCAAAGCGCCCTTTGAAAGACTACCTTCAGTCCATGTGACTGGCGATCGCGATGATACGGATCCCCTAGTTATTGTTTTGTTTACAGGACACTAATGGCGGTGTTCTAATATCCAGAGGCGATGCTAAGGGGTGGGGTATTTAGGGCACGCCCCTCTCCCTTGAGGACTATGCGCCCCTCTCTGGTCGCCCTGGCCCCGCTCATAATTTGGGGAGGGAAAAATGATGAGCTCTTCATAGTAACAACAAGTATAGAGTCAAGACCTTTAACGGTTTAAAAGTTTATAAATTAGGATTTTAAGAAAGTGAATTCAAAACTTCCTAAAATGTAAAATACTTCCTGAAATGTAAAAATCATTTATTGAAAACTTTTGGGAATAGACGCAGCAGAAACAAGGGGAGGATAACGCCATCACCTCTTATTGAGCTATGAGAGGGGCAATGAACCCGGAAGCAAGGTGCTTCGCCGTTGAAATATGAGAACAGATGATTCATCAGTGCAGTAATTCAGGAACAGGACATGACGAAATGATTACTTCATTTTAACGACCAGCTTTTACATGTACAATAATCTCTGTTAGTTTAAATGTGTAAATCGCCTTCCAGTGAGAGGCGATCTGTTGGTTAATATAGATTGCACATTTATTTTTATCAAAATCGTGAAATAATTCCCGCTGAAAGGCGACAGTAATTAGTAAATGAAGATATGGCTATTTGTCCCGTTTTCCTTCTGTTTGCGCGGTACCACTGGGGATCATTTCACACTTGATTGCCGTTTGCAAGAAGTGCCTTTAGTAATAAACAACTCTTTAATTGAGATTTTAAACGATTGAAGTATGTTTTTCGTCATGCCTTTCGAGATGTTCACAATCTTGCTGATGGAAAAAAAAATTACGCATTTATCGGAGGAAAGACATAATACGCGATTCTAAAATGTGAAGTCCGAACACGATTTTGTCGATTCGCCACTTTGTGAGAATGTCAACGATTAATATTGGCGACGTCTTGGGGCAAATAATATTCAATGTGAACCTAAAGTCGTCGGGACGATGGCCTAAGATAAATCGCTCAATAATCAAGAGCGGTGACTTCCCCTTTCACTCCCTCTTACACACATCGTGACATCATGCACGCACACACAAAAGCAATGAACGAAATTGAAAGGGCAGTACTTTCCTATCCTCGCTGCGCTTATCTAAGCTTTATAAATCCAACTGATTAATGCAGTAACACGGTTGGGACATCAATATGCCGGTGCCTTCAATCCGTTCAATGCTTGTCTCTTAGCGGGAACCGTGATGGAGTAATCACGGAAGAAAGGGTCGAATTTTTAATTGTGAAAAGTTGCTGCCGTATACACTGTATACAGTTGGACAATAAAATATTTTCACGACAGTGGTGTAACCATCCAAGTGCCTGTTAGCCCTGGACACAGTGGTATGTTATTATTATTTGCTCATTTGGTATGCGAGGGATCCCATGCGGAGAGCGGGTGTATCAATAACTTTATGGATATTATTTAACTCGGCCTTGTATTGAGCAACACTCCCGTGGGCACATAATATGTGGAGAACGGTGCATCATCATTATCTTTATCATCATCAGCAGCATCAGCATCAGCATCAGCATCGTCATCAGCATCGTCGCCTGTGCCAGCCGCATTATGCAGCATGATTTATTGTGAGCCCATCTTGCGACTTAGAGTAACGATGGGGAGACTAGGTCCAGTCCGTGCCGTGCATGATAAGCCCCGTAAGGGTTCCACGGACAAGGGGTACATGGTGAGACAAATTGCATAAATTTACCTCTATGCGCTCAGCATCGTATATCACACGCTCACGACTCACTCACCGGCGGGGAAGTTGTCGTTTTTTCCCCTCGCTTCAACGATCGCCGGAACTTGGCATAATTTATACGAGCAAATATTGGAAAGTGGATCGCAGTTTCTGTGCCGATCACCGGCGTGCCGGTCATGTCATGGGTGTTATCCTCATCCTTACAGAGTCCATGAGGCGAGTTCGTTTCGGTTGGGTTGTGGTGACTTTCTTCATTTCACGCTGCGTACATAATTACATCCGGTATTGCTATGTGTGGAGTCATCGAGTCAGAAAATGACAGTCTGGACGGCGTACCACAAAGACTGAGGGTTTGAAGTCCCGTAGACGTGGCCATGAATGCAGTTCATGCTCCCGTCTTTGCGAATCACTAGACACTCTGGAAACATGTCATCTAGAGAGAACGCAACTCCACCTGCTTTGCAGACACTTTTCAAGCGTGTGCCGTCCATACGGGAGAGAACGAGACGTGGAAGCCTCGGTCAAGTCTCAGGAGCTATTGCCATTCACGATGCCGTGGCAAAAGGAAAGATCCATCTGGCTAAATTTATCTTGGATGCTGTCGAGGGTCAGTCTCTTGTGGACGCACAGGATGTTCACGGTAAGACACCTCTCATAAGAGCTACGAGGATCAAGGATGCAGAGGTACGCAACAAAGTCGTAGACTTGCTCCTTAGCTACAAGGCCAACGTAAACCTCTTGGATCACGTGGGACGGAGTGCCCTGAGTTACGCCTGCGAGTTGCACTGCAATGGCGTCATCAGGAAACTGGTCAGGAACAATGTAGACCCTAACGTGGAGGATCACAACGGCAACACGCCCCTGATGTACTGCGCCATGGCCAACAATGCCGAGGCTATTGAGATAATCTCTCGGTCTTTCCGCAGACTTGGCCTGGAGGTGGACAAGGTAAATGCTGACGCCATGACGCCCCTCATGGAAGCTGCTAAGAACGGCTACGTTGAGTGCGCTCGGCTACTGGCCAGGGAAGCCAAAGCATCGGTCATTGTTCGGGATGTGGTGCGTAACATGAACGCAGCGGACTGGGCGCGAGAGGGTGGCTGTTCCACCCCTGAAGTTGATATCTTGCTTCCAAAACAACGGACTTCAAAACAATCCGCCTTGAATACGGCAATTCACGAACACACCAAGAAGAGCTCAGCAACAAACGGAACTCTGACATCCCAAAAAGATGGACATACTGCGGCATCGGTTGAATTGACTCAACACAGCCCAACTACCTCTTCTCGAGGCAGTGTTCCTGCAGGCCTCTTTACTTCCAAGAAAGGAAACGCAAGAAAACACCCTTCCAGCATGGAAGAATTATCCTGCAGGTCCAAGGAAATGCAGTCGCTCGGTATGCCGGCAAATAGGTCTAGTTTTCCTGACGTTCAAAGAGCGGGGATGCAACACAACACAGTACAGGAGCACCACCAGTTCCCGCATTTGAGTAACGACGCGCAGGAAAACCTGATGGTCCTCTCCAAGGGCAGTGCATCAGCGGCATCGCGTGGAGGTTTGTTCACAAAGAGACCCCAGCCTCCAGCTGCACCGATACGCCCGTGTTCCGCCGCGGCGCAAAGACCCAAAAGAGGAGTTCGTCATCCTTCACACACCTCTACCTCTGTGGAGGATCTTTTGCTCATGGGTGACCCCACTGAACCCCTCATCGGTTTATCACAAAGCCCGCTGAAGTCAAGTAGCATGAGTCATCTGATGTATGAGCGAGCTGACGCGAGCGGTATGATCAGCCCGCGTTTTGTTAAACGGAGTATCGGCAGTGATACACTTATTGATCTGACAATCGTCTCACTGAGAGAACTCTCTGGACGACCCAGGACCTCATCACAACCTCTACCGAGTACAGATCCTGGTTTGACGAGCGACAGATTGGAATCTGTTTCCTGCACGCACCTTCCGCCAATCACTCCAAAATACGACCAGTAATGGAAACCTAGTCTTTTCTGACCAAGTGGCATTCCTTTATCCGTATTAAATCTTACAAACTCTGTTAAAATGCAGTGTTCTTAAGTTTTCTCTATGCGAAATTGTAAATCTCTGTTTAATTGTAATGGGAATGGAAACATTAACGGCTCCGGCTTCTCGCGTTTTAGTTGAAGCCGTCAAAGCTTGTGCCTTTCCGACTAAAAAAAAACACGTTGTTTTTTCGTCGCGGTACACAATCTTAAACATGCTATGAGATTAAACATGCACCCTAATGTTCGTGGGTCCGTTGCTTATTTTGTAATAATCGATATTAATTACGCGGAAAAACAGTTTGATAATTGACTTGATGAATACAATCAAAACTGGTCGACTTTTCAAAAAAAAACCACCTTTATTCTTAGACTTACCACAAAAATGCAAAGACAATGCAGATTCCTGGTTTTGTGGGAATCGTACGAATTTTTTTTTTGACATCCACTTCCATTATACTTAAGGTTTCTGCATTATAGTCTGCAAATAATGACGTCATGGTATGTCAAATTCAGGCAGAATTGGGCAGGGGTTGATTTTCAGCGATTGTGAGATTTTAAAAAACAATTGTGATGCTACTAGTATTTAAAATGTCCTGCAAAAGATTCAAACTGAAAATTCATCGACAAAGTATTAAAAAAAACACTTCTAGCGAGGCATGTCATGTCACAAAATGACCCCTTGTTCGGGATTTTGTTCTGAAATGACGCAAAAATTAGCATGACCTTTCGAACAGTCTGATTTCAAAATTTAATAACTTCGCTTTGGAATATCCAATTTAAAAAACAAATCGGTGTTTGAAAGAACAAGGACTGACTTTTTATGACATTGCAGGAACTCAAAATTGACTTTTTGGTCCGAAGTGCCCGATTTTGACATACCACGTCTAACATCAAGCTTGTATAATACCGTTAAATGTTATGTTCTTATTCACTTGTCTCAATGCAACAAGCAAAGGCAAGCACATTTGAACCGTCTTTGACGAAACTTTCTAGATTTTTGCTTCTTGAACAGAGCTTGCCATAGTTATTTGATTCCTAGATAAAAAAAAAAGTGAAAAAAAATGAGAGTCACCAAATAACTTACTTTCAATACCGTCATTTTTTTTTTTTTTGCCATCTTTGAGACCAACTATGACCTGAGACCTGAGTTATGTCTGAATCTGCCTGCATTTCGATCAATGTGCGAGTATACTCCAGCGGAGGTTTCTGCACAGTACAGAAAAAAAATGATGAGGTGAATTACCATGTTTGCCCGATACATGCAATAATATATAGCTGATACTGTGTATTCAGTAAGGAATCTGGATTGTCAAGTTGTTAAACTTTTAGTGATACCTTCGTCACCTTTTGTCTCTGATGACCTCTGCTCAATTCCTGCTTTGGTAACCATTATGTATGTTGCGATTTAGAATGGCCTTTGATATTTCTGTATTATTATGGTGTATACTACTACGATATATATGTATGTTGTTCCTATGGCTACGATGTATATACATTTGGATGTTTTACTATGTATATACTATTTGATGTTTTCAAAAATGAGAGTCAGAACGGTGCGAAAGCTGTTATTAGGATACATTCAGGGTGGATAAGAAATGAAGAATGAAGAAGGTATTCTTATCAATCGAGTCCTCCTGAGTTTTAATTGAATACGCTTACACCAGTTTAATGCAAATGAAAATGCCATTAAGGATTTATTTCTGCTCAAAACGAAAAACCTCCATAAAAGTCAAACTTTACGTCACCTAGCTGCTCTTCCAACGACATTCTGAAAATGACATTTGCAACAGGATTATTTCAAAAGATCTACAAATGTGTAATCTTAAATTAAGTAATTTTCTGTTTTTCTTTTGGCCACTGAGTATAAATGCCTTGCACAGCATGGCAGTTGATAACACAGTTACTCCGAGTGATACGACGTCTGTGTTATTTACCACAGTTCACTGACTTTGATTGTAACAGAATACAAATTACGTGACATTCGTGTCATTGCGCGGATCCCATCCTATCACATGTTTCTCATCAGCGAACCTTCCATTTCACTTGCCATATCACCTGCCATTTAAATTTGGTTTTTGACGTTTTATTGTGATTTGCTTAGTACAAGTTATTGGGAAGTGTCGAGTGACGATTACCATGACTGTCATGTTGAAACGATTACAGTGGTGCATGATGTAAGGCCCAGTCCAAATTAGTTTACTACGGCTTGAAATTATACACGAGTCTATGGGAATGGCTGCAGCCGCTACCGTAGACATGTGTGTAATTTCAAACCCTGGCGAAGTAATTTGGACACGGCCTATAGGCACAAAGTTTGGTCTATGATGTCACGGTATGCAAACATTTAATAGAAGAGGCACCATTGCCTCTAGGCGGCGCTCTTAACTCGTCCCGAACATTATACACCTCAACATCTAAACATACACATTCTAGTCCACCCAGGCGATAGTCGTCGACGCGCACCTTGCATCCCCGTTAATAATAATGGTACTTATAAAGCGCACGTTTCCACTTGTACTGGTGCTCAATGCGCTATTTGGGCCAATGAAAACATTTCAAAGACAAATTTCAGCTTCCAAGGGACTGGGAGTATACAGCTCAATGCTGCCATTTCGGCACAAAGCAGCCTAAATCAACCACAATAACCATCTCTGCCCTCACATACAGATACCATTTACTCCTGGGTAGAGGGAAACAATGAGTGACAAAGTGTCTTGCCCTAGGACACACGCATCACAACCCCAGACTGGACTCGAACCCACAACCTGCAGAATTACCCACATACCAAGAATTCAACACTATCTGTTTCGAGTTGTGTGGTTCTGAGAGGAACCGTTAGCGCACTTGTTGTTGTAGACAGCAACAAACATCGACTGCTGGCACGTGATGACAAATTGACAAGCTAGAACCCGGCCCTCACTCGTGAATATCTAGGAGGTTTGGTAATTGACCTATCGCCGTTTGCGAGTTAGCCAAGCCCCTTAGACAACCCTATGGCATTTTTGTACAAGTTTTGTTTGTCCTAGATTTTGCGCGTTCCGCGTCCATTTGTATATCATGTAATTGGACAATATTTCACAAGCTGCGTTGACGCGATTCTAACGCGATTCTACCGCGATAGGTCAATTATAATCAAACTGTGATACTCAGACTATGTTATGAATAGGAGGTCGAAAAAAAGACCTTTTGATAATTACGATTACCTATTTGAAAAGAGCACGGGAAAAGGTAATGGTGCATCTTGAAACCCTGCCACACTTTTGGTTCTTGAGGGGTATGTTCGTTCTGATTCCTCCATGGTTTGAAGCAGCAATACTTTTCACGGAACTTTTTACATTCGTATCGTAGAAAACAGTTTTGAATAAAATATGATTGTGCAAAGATAGACATTGATTACGTTTAGGGTTGATCAGAGAAATAAATATTCTTGTATAAATACATGAAATTGAAATAATCAAATGAATAGTTATGAAATGGAATTCGTATTATATCAAATGCAAAACCGTAATGGCATTATTGAAATAACTGAGGTTGCGCTGTATTTAAGACAAGTTATGTGGTTATTTTGATGAACGTGGTTAACATTTTTCAGAACAGTATATGATTACGACTAAATAAACTTACAGTTAACAGACCTGTGCTACCCCAAGTGCGGGTTGCTCGATCCTTGGTCTGAAATTGTATTTACTTTGAAACCTGAGATCAGCACTTACATTTTTTTTGTTCGCCGGCTGTACGGCTCGAAAAGTCTTTACACGCGAACACAGCATTTTGCCGAAATTATGATTAATTGCGCACACGGACCGCACGATCCCGCCGATTCTATATCTGCTGTCTCGCGCAACTGGATGAACAACATCATACAGGCACTTTCCCTGACCCGTATGCAGGCTATATTATCCACGACTTCCTTACTGGCCAAAAACAACTCACGAACACTAGACAGGTTCAATATTGGAACTGCACGTGTGCAATCACAAGCTCGCCAATCTTGTGGCGCTCAGGGTGACCATGGAGCTATTAAGCTCTATGGGGTGACACCGTGTCCAGCGTAAAACAAACTGATAATTTTATGGTTTGTAACTTTATTCAAAAAAGAAAGTCGTTTGGACTTCCTACAACTCAATCGGGTGAAAAGTATCCTGCACGCTTCAGGGAAGAGCCGCAAGTTGAGGCCGTGTGTAATGCTATCCAAAATGGATTTTACTTCAGGAACATTGTTCCCCTTTTCCGAAAACGAATGAAATGTACAAATAGTTTTCGTGAATATAAAGCCTGATTTGGAATATCCGCATGCATGAAATTGCCTCACACATCACAACGCTATATAATAACTTGAACATTTAAAAAAAAAACAAAATATAAATGTTTTATTCACGACAAGAAGGTATTACCATTAAAATTCATACACGAAGGCAAGAGGCTAGAATTTGTTAAAATAATCACCTAGCTTCCTTTAGCATTACTGATGATAATGAGTTTCCAGCGTGGACTGTTTCTGCTGAATTGCCTTTGGGCGCACCATAATGAATACAGTAATTCAAAACTATCCCTGGCAACTTGTAATTAATTTCGGGCATATTTTGATTTACCGGATACGCAGTCTAGGATTTCATGGCCTTTAACTAGCGACACGTGATAACCCAGGACAGATGGGAATTAATTATATTTATACGTTCTTGTTCCGAACGAGTAATTAAAATACCGGCAAATTGCAAACTTGCGATATTCCGCATCTACTTGTCTTATATTGTGACCTTTCTGTAGGTCACTATATCATCCTCACTGAGTGATTATTATATATAGGCCCTCCCTTTTATTTGCACATGTTGATTGATTTAGCTGTATGGGTGGAAACCTGCAGCAGCGCTGACTGGGAATATTTCAACCGATTGGGCAAGCAAATTGGCACGGTTGTTTAACACACAATCGTAAGTGACAGCGTGATTAACCACGTAGTTGTCAGGCAGTTGTCAAATGCGCCGAGATCGAAAGCTGCGGACAAACGTCTATACATTTAATAGAATCTTCCGATGTTATCGATGGATTTTAATATGAGATAAGACATAATGGACCAATTTTATATATATATAAAATCTTCCGATGTTATCGATGGATTTTCATATGAGATAAGACATAATGGACAAATTTTATATATATATATTTTATATATTATATATATATAAAAAAAAAGTTTTGAAATTTGGCTTGCAAACAAACTTGTCGCAGGCCAAGACCTTCACAGTGTTTTCTCGGCGACTAGATTAACAGGTCAGTTCTGAAAAATCATAAGCAATATAATGTGATATATTCGAAACGTTTATTTCCTATTCGTGGTAAAATG